ACTCCCAGAATTCCCCAGCCAGCATTTGCTGGCTGGGGAATTCTGGGAGTTGAAGTCCGGACATCTTCAAGTTGCCAAGGTTGAGAAACACTGGCTTAGATAACGTTTGAAAGCAGCCAAATCCATGCGTTCCGTGTCTGGGAAAGCTTGAACGCTGGAGATAATAACCGACAGTCTTAAAAGGGGGCTGTAATTGGCTTAAGGCTTGAAAACTGCACTTTTTTTCAGGCGGAAAAAGAATATTTGAAAGCCAACCCAGGCGTTATATTCCAGATCAATGATCCCCGACCTGATTGATGGGCTTGTTTCTCGGTAGCTGTAGCTAAATAGTGTACAATTTAGGTCAGCGGATCCCTACTTGGGGGGAAAAGTGCGTATGTGGTGTACAGTCAAGCATATAATTATTCCATTTATTAAGTGCCTCATAAAATAACATTTCTCCGGGCTTAATACCTAGTTAAATTACAGTTGAGGGTACCAGAGTTTATGGAATGTGTAACTTGTAACAGACTTAAGGATGGTTAAAGTGAAGTATCTCCTATAATTTCATAGAATTTATCCAAAACCAAACAGTGCTTGCATTTCCTGTGATTCCCTATCCCTCCATCGCTTCTCATTACCTGCATGCAATCTTGAGCATGTATACAATGCTTGGATATCAGAAAAACCAGTCCAGAAAAACCTTACCTAGTTTACTGAGAAGGCATTGTTGTATATAGATACCACTTCCCTGATAAAGCCTGATTGGACTGAATGCAATTTTTTTTTCTACAGAACTGAATAGAGAATTCCATAGTTAATCCTGACAGAGCAAACACCTATCTTGCTAATCTTCTGTATGGTTCATACAATTTGGGTAGGTTTCCCATTTCTTTAAAACAAAATGATTTAGATTTCAAGAGGTACAACACGAATGAAGCTTGAATTGATGGAAATACGGTGACCTCTTTATTTTGTATGATTTATTTTGCCCCAGTAGGATGAATTGCATCCAGGAATATTGTAAAAAAAAATACCACTACCTAATCTAGGATTGTCACATCCAAAACTGACAGCTTGGAAGTGATAAAAAAGCAGATACTCCTTCAGTAGGTATTTGCTATAAGATCAAGGCCAAAAGGCAGAAATTCCTTTGTTTGGTCTGAGGTCAGTTTAGAGCAGTGTTTCTCAACCTTGGCAACTTGAAGATGTCTGGACTTCAACTCCCAGAATTCCCCAGCCAGCATTCGCNTGGAATATTTAGGAGCGAGGAAATTTCACAACTGGATTTGTTGCACAGGTGGCATCCTATCACAGTTCCACGCTGGAATTCACTGAGCTCCTGAGAGCGACCCAATCTTTCACAAATGTTTGTAAAAACAGTCTTCATGCCTAGGTACTTGATTTTATACATCTGTGGCCATGGAAGTGATTGGAACACCTGATTCTATACTTTTGGCAATATATTGTATGTTGTTGTGTGCTTTTTAAATTTCTAACATAAAAAAGTAAAGAAAGTTCAAGCAATTGGTTATAAAAAAGTAACTCAAGGTCAAGCTAACTGGAATGGGATGAAATATAGCTTAAATCCTTTTTTTTTAAATACTAACTGGCAAATAATTCAACAAGGCCATCCCTGACACACGTTAACTTCCTTTGAACTGAATCTGATGCAAAAAAAATGCAGAATACCTATAATAAATTAAGATGCTTTATTACTAATTATTAATTATCTCTCTCTCCATTTTAAAATAGCCCGCTTTCTCAGTAATACTTGATAACAGAGACTCTCCGACCGAAGAGGCAGAAATAGCCAGCTGCAACAGGAAAGATGTTACAAATCACATTACACCAGATCTCAATCCATTATTCTATCTTACTTCAAAAGAGGGTACTATATCTAAGCATTCAGAGCCATTTACCCTTCGTGTAAAGACACCAAAGAATTGCCCTTGTTTATAAAAAAATCAGTCTGAGAAATTTCACCTTACAGGGCCCGTTTTGCTGAAGACATTGTGGAGGGAGGAGGCCTTGAATTTCCAACTCCATAAGAAACTCTAGGCCAGCTCAGATACTGAAAAAGGAGGTGTAAATTTAAAAACAGCAGTGAGATTCACCATTTACAAGTGTGTGTGTTTGGGGGGGTTGGTCAGAGAACTACCCTCAAGCAGGGTGTTTTGTCCAAAGGTTGCTTCTAGGGGTTGGTCTTTACTGGGAAGTCATGCAAATAAAATGAATTGTCATGGTCTTTAAAAAAAAAAAAAAGCTCAGGAAGTTGTAAAAGGTGTTAGCTATGAAGCTGAGCACCACCAAAATGCCTTCTTATCTCCCTGCCTCTGCAGAAAACTGTTTTCAGTTATGAGGGAAGTCAAAAATAGCTGGCTGTGGAATTCTGGGACTTGAAGTCCGCAAGGCTTGCCAAGGTTGGAGACCCCTGACCTAAACTACTCTTATCTCCAGAGAGGATATGAATGCAGAGAGCAGTTCTGATCCCTCCTCCTGGTCATAGTTATGAAAGTCTTTTAAAGAAGTGAAATCTCCCTTACATCAAGCTTGACTCTTTGTTTCCTTGGCAACAATACCAAAGTTGTTTCAATACCAAACTTGCTTTCTTCCCATAAGATAAATAAATATAAATATGATTCCTTGGGCTTCTGGCTCGATGATTTCCTAGCTGCCTCCCATGCAAATGCTAATCTGATTTGACTGTGGGTTGTTTTTGTTTTTTTCCCCCCAGTTTAGATAAAGTTAAGTTCTGCTATCTGGATATCTCTTTATTTCACAAGTCTTGAGCATTTCCCAAGTTCTACCACTGCAATGTTCAACTTGGCTCTTGAAGAGGAAGGACAGAAGGGGAGTGAATAGCTTTTGTTTCTCCATTATAGGAAATCCCTTAAGTCAACTCACTTCTACAAAAAAGGGGGCTCAGAGACAATCAAGAAAACTGGGCAGGTCACCTGTTTTCTTAAGCCCGCCTTCTCAACCGATTCCATCAAAGTGCCGCCACCTGCAGTCAACTCAATCAGTGGCCACGTTGGTTGGAAAATTGGGAAGTCATAAGGTTGGCGAAGGGCACTTTAAGAGGTCAGCCGAGGTCAACGTGTGGTTTAAAAAGGCTCCATTGCTATACACCAACCCTTTTGTTTATATCTGGGCCACTTCCAATCATATACAAAGCACTGTGTGTGACAGAGAGGGACGGCAGACTAGCGGAAACAGTGCCTGCCGCTTATCCCGAGGGAGCCAACCTCTCAGTCTAGTTCATGGGGAGTATAAGTACTGAGAGGACAGGTGTTTTTCCAAGAAACAAAGTGGCATGGGGACGCCCTTTCCACTTGTCAATCTAGGCCTGTCCTCCTGTTAAAGGGATCAAGCATTAGGGGATTGGAACAACCTTGAAGAAGTATTGTCAGTCAACAGGCATTTTGTGGGTTAGGGGTGGCAAAGGGATGAACCAGCCCAACAGTTCTTCCTACGTACAGTATATTGATTGTAGCAGACTCGGTTTAGACACAGCACAACCAGTTAGCTGTTCCCAAACTCTTAACTGCTAGCAGCCTTGCAAGAAAAGAATTCCCGTTTCCCATCGCCCTCTTTTTCCAAAAGAGATGGCAGCCACAGCTGCTTCCGTGCGAGTTTTACCTAGTCCATGTTCAGGGAACACCGCCTTCCGAGTAGCAGACAAGCTGCTTCAAGAGCAAACAAGCCAGACTGAGCTCAGCCTGACATCATCCTTATTTTGCATTACGTACCCTTTGGTCAACCGAATAATATCACCTGGCTGGATGAGGCTGCCAAGCTCATCCCACACAGAGATGGTGATGCTTCCTGTCTTGTCAGCTACTTTGCACGCCCTGACTTCGTGCCCGTCTTTGGTTTTGGTAACACGTCCTGCCAGGAAACAGCAAAAAAAAGAAAAGAGACAGAGACAGAGAGACAGAGAGAGACAGAGAGAGAGAGAGAGAGAGAGAGAGAAAGCAGCCAATGAGACATACACAGGAACAATGACCCAATAAATACAAGCTGTCACCATGATTTATTCTCCTGTAAATATGATCTTCGGCTTTTTGAAATGGAGATGAGCACCGTCCCCTAGAATCGAGAACGACCAGCACCTATGTGCGAGGGGAACTTTTTTTAACTTTGCCTAAATAGGATTAGGAAGTTATTACGGAGTTTAAAAGCTTAGGAAGTGATGGCAGAAATAAAATAAAAAAATTAGAAGATAACTAAAAGTCTTATCTTTTAAAAAGTCTATATTTAAAGGGTGGAGCACACCACCAATGGGACTGCCAACCTTTTCCCTGAAAAGTGACCACGTGTCCCAAACTCACACACACACACACACACACACACACACACACACACACACACACACACAGAGCTTCTGAGCTAGAAAGAGGAAGAAGGAAAGATAGGAAGGAGAGGCGGGGAGGAGAGATGGGGGGGAAGGAAACAATGAATGAGATGGTTCCAAGGGACACCCACTTACCTATCTCCAGTACAATAAAGACGACATTTAGATTTTTCAGTCCGGCCTTTATATCTTTTATGAAGAAGTGTGTCTCGTTTGCCATGCTCAGGCTACTTGCTCAGGAGGAAGATACGGGCGTTGCGGGGACAGAATGAGCAGGACAAACCATGCCTTCCCAGCGGAGCACAGGGTACCAGAGGGCAGCCGGGGATCGGGATGGGTATTTTGACCAGCTTTTCAAAAAATATATTAAAAAAAACAATTATATGTACAGCTGGAGGTGGCAAGGGGAGAAGGCGCTTTTTTTAAAAAGAGACAAGGCACACGCACACACAGCAACCCCTTCCTGTCGCTCAAACTGGTTGAACTCCTAATCGAGGGGGGGGGGAGAGAGGGAACCCCCTGATCGCAGACAAATCTAAAGCCGGGTTGGGTTTAGAAGCCCGAGCTCTGTGATTATAACAGGCAGAGAGTTTGGCCGGCTTCAACTGCGATTTCCGCCCCTGCCGGTGGAAGGGAAAAACCAGTCCAGCATTCTCCTCTCCTCCCTGCTTCTTACAGCGCTCTTCGCTCCACCGGAAAACGAGGGAGAAAAGAAAGCGGGGGCCGCTTTCTCTTGTTCCTTGTTATTTTACAACCACTTAAGGTGCTTTGCTGCGCCTTGTTCACCCACCCACCTCTCCTAGTGAGCACACCAAGCCCAGGAAAGTAAGTGCAGTAACTTCACTCCCAGCACCCCAGCTCCTTTCGCAAACGCTCCCCCTCTATGGAAGGCAAGCATGTGCCGCATCGCGCTTTTATAGTCGAGCGGACCGATCCATTTGCTCTTCGCGAGGGGAAGGGAGAAAAGAGTGTGAAGGGCGGTCCGAGGGAAACAGAGAAGGAAGACACCGACTGCCGGGCAAACGGGCGGCTGAGGAGTCTTATCAACCTCGCGTCGTATGTTATCCGCTTTGTAAGCAACCGGCGCTGGAGATATACATTTTAAAAAAAGCAGGACGGGGCCCACCCAAGCGAAATGGTACCGTCCGGGGGGCGCGGAATGGAACTGAATGTGACAAAGTGCCTCGTGAAAGGAGCCGATTGGTCGGAGGAGATTCTTTTGTCCTCTGACCTAGAATATTTACTCCGGCTCGCCGCCGTCCGCACCTTCTTTTCCTTCGGCTCCTTTCACGGGGAGAGCGGGAGCTTTGCTTCACCCGAGGACAATGCTCCGCTCTCATCGGGAGCTTCCTGGAATGGCGGCCTCTGGCTTTTCACGTGCCCGCCGATTCCTTCATTGACTTCCCCCGTTTCGAAAGGAGGGTGCCGGCCAATCTGTCCGCGCTAGGATTACCCCCCGTTTGCCGTGTAGAGCAGTGTTTCTCAACCTTGGCAACTTGAAGATGTCCGGACTTCAACTCCCAGAATTCCCCAGCCAGCATTTG